CTTTTATGTGACACCGAGTCAAGCTGCACGAGGAAGGGACCGGTCCACTGCTGATGGAATCCCAAGGGAATGTAATCGTGATTCCTTCAAAGGCAAGTGGCACGATAAATTGACAAGGCGTACAGGGTCTATAACACGCCCAAACGAAAGGATATTGCGCCCCTTAGCAGGCGCTGCGTGTCATTTCCCAACTAAGGGCACCGTCATAGCGTCTTTGCAAGATGCAACATGCCGACCCAAACGCCCACCGCAACCGCCCGCCCACAAATGGCCGGACAGTCACATCGACGCTGGTACTCTTATCGCTTCATTTATGAAGTACAATTGATATGAAGCGTTGCTACATGGATATATGAATACATACGTGCAGCCGCATCTACCAAAGCTATTGCTGGCACGATGCCAACGAGAAACTCGTCCAAAAATGCTCGTCCAGTGCCGTGCACAAGAAAGGTTTTTGCAGGTTTTTGACCGTATAACTTCGCTTTTTCGTCATTTACCTACTATGTAACACCCCTGCTACTATTTTTGAGCAAGTACCACTTTATCGTGCCTTGTGCCTCTAAAAGAGAACTTATACATTCGGATGCAAATGCAATAGTCCCCATCATTCATCTTATTAGCGGCTCCTTTTATCAATCGGAGGCGAACCGGGGGGTTTGAGGTGATGGAAATGCGAAAGGCATAATCGGAGCGTCCACACATACGTATAACCAGATTTGGCAGCAGAGAAACAGCAGCAGCAGGATCTCCACTGATTATCACGCAAACCCACTCAACACACATCACCTATTGCTCCACTCTCCAACCCGCGTCGCGCATTTACCCCGACAACAAAATGGGCCCATCAAATTGAATTATGGAGCAATAGAATCGATCAATAGGGTTGCTGTACCTGTGAAGGTGAAAATCGAAATGAAGAGGAGAATCACGAGCGTTCCCCTCGAAAAAGGACCCATCACCTGAAACAAATGTGGCAAAGATTGAGACAATCAATAAAAGTACATTTTGCTGAGCTTGAGAAACGAAAAAAAAAACACAAATGAATAGGAGATCGTGCTTGTTTGACGAGATAGGATTTTTTTGAACATTCAAAGCAATTCTTCACCCTGAACCCATCACCTTTTCATACCTACTTTTTTTACGAAATTTCCACGAGTAAATGTGATTATAAGGGGACAGTGAAGAAAACGAAATCTACAATGATCAGCAATAATTCTGAAGGAGCAGATGGCAACCGGTTAATCTCAAGTACACGATTCGTGTAGTTTATTTGATGGCTCCGAAGTGGTTCCGAGTTGGTGGGGGCATTCAAAGGGGTCCGTTACCCAAAACTGAGATTATCGCAGAGTTAAACCGAAAAATTGGATCCCTTAAGCCTGAATCCCTTCCCTCTTACGATAAGGTGAAAATCCTCGTC